CTGTACAAGCATGTGATACATGCTTTAATGCGCAAAATAACTATTTTATTTGTGATTTCTATCAATAATATCTTTATATTCGTTCTTTTTCAGTTAAAGAAATTGTTATTTAAAATGCAATTGAAAATATATTAGTTTTATAAGGATATAAAGACTAAAGATACGCTGTACATTCTGTACATGTGATACATGCTTTATTGCGCAAAATAACTAATTATTTGTAATTTTTCTCAATTTGAAATGTTTTATTTCTGTATCCTTTGAATGTATCATTTACCTATAAAGGATTAAAATCATATAAGTCATAGTTTAGTTTTGTAAGGTTAAGAGTAGATTATACATTCTGTGCGTTATTAATAAGATATAATTATTTTATCTGTAAAGTTTATTTAAAATCAATAACATTTTAGTTTTGTCTCTAGTCTTCAAATTTTTTTTTTTAAAGTAAGTGCAATCACAGTTTTTTGTTTACAACACAAAGAATATATTTGCTGTATGTTATGTATAACACAACAATAAATGTGTTGGTGCATGAAATAATTTTTGTGTATTCCTATAATCTTCTCTATTCGATTTAAATAAATCATTAATTTTTTAAATAAACTTTTATTTTTATTTATGCAGTTTAGCGGCTTTTGATTGGAAATTATACTTATTTCACACATATGTACACGAAACGACTGAATATGGTAGTAAAAAGCGTCGTTCTCTGTCCCATACAGCGAGATATTAATAATTACAGTTATTTAGGTTAGAATATCTGTCATACGAAATATATGACATAAGCATGCACTGCGGTCACATGCGCATGCTCTGTGGCCATATACGCATATGTCAGTTTTGGGGCCCATTTTGTCTGACGCTCGTTTTCGCCTATTCGATAAAAAAGTTAATTATTGCAAAATTCTTAACAGTATTATCAAAATTGCTATAGAGCATCGATAGAAGACACTTTCCTGTTTACATTTATATCTCCAAAGATTTATTTTCTGCTTTTGTCTAAAAATTATAGTCTAAAAACAAAATAGTATGTCGGTATCGATGACCTTCCTCTATTAATTTTAAAAGAATTCTTATGCCAAACTGTCTATTTTAACGTAATTTTATTATTGAAAGATAATGAAATACCATGAAAAATGACTCATATATTATTGAAGATGCCAGGTTCATCAAAGTAAACATACACCAACAGTTGCCAACTTTACGTCTGACTTGAATACCTCATTATCAATTATGTATGCTAAGGTTTTTTACCATTTTATTATCTTCCAATAATAAAGATGTATTATGTTAAAGTGGACAATATGGTAAAACAATTTAATAAGCATTCTTTTAAAATTAATATTGATCTTTTGTGGTTCATTTTTAAAATATAAAAAACTGTTATTTTGATCACATAGAACACTATATTTGATTCAAGATTTTGGAGTACATAAGAATTCTTTTGAAATTAATACTGATCTTATGTGATTCATTTTTGAAATATAAAAAACTGTTATTTCTATCTCTCACCTAGAACACTATATTTGATTCAAGAGTTTGGAGCACATGTGTGTGAGTTAACCAGTTTTCAATCACGTATATCTTCATAAGCATACATTTATTGTTTGTACATCGTTAACGATATTTGCGACTTAACATTGAAAATGACCTAATTAAGGTCGAAACGTCTGTTTTTTAAATTTTAATTTTATTAAACTTTATATTTATTTTTAACTAATGACATTTTTTATTTACTAAGACTTTTACAATTTAACGAATGTTGGCTCGTAGCCCTGTTGTTTTAATTATTTTTTAAATTTATTGAGCCTTGTTTTATATATTAACATATATACTTATTATTTAATTATCTAGTAAGACGATCCTTTTTAACGAACAGTTATGGAGATGCTTATAAAAAATATGAAAGCAGCGGATATTCTAGAGGATTTAGAATCAAAGCTTGCATATATTCCAGGCAGTTGTGATCATGACGGACGACCTTTAATAGTAATAAATATTCCACCAGAATTTGATTCCACAACAAAGTCGAAATTAGAGTTCCTCATTTCATATTTTTTATCAATTTTCAGGTATAGACTATCTTTGATACCTCATTAACTGATGTACATACACACATACACACACACTTAAAATATATATACAGGGTGTTCCAGAACGAGTGTCAAAAATTACACGAACAGGTAGAGCGGACTGAACTGAGTCGAAAAGTCCTGTACCGTTTTGAAATTTTCGCAATAGTCAACGAGATAATATTTGGTAAAAATTACCGAATACGTGGGTCCGCCCGGCCTACTACTGCCAACAGTGTACGCCCTTGATAGTTCGATGGCGCGCGGACTGTGGAGAGCGGGGATTGCGTGGCGAGTCACGACGTTCGTCACCACGTATTCGGTAATTTTTACCAATTATTATCTCGTTAACTATTACGAAAATTACAAAACGGTAGAGGACTTTTCGACTCAGTTCAGTCCGCTCTACCTGTTCGTGTAATTTTTGACACTCATTCTGGGATACCCTGTATATATAATATTAAACTTATACAAATGAGTAATTAAATATTTATTGGTGATTAATATATAGCGATGAGACGAAGGAAAACGGATTGGTTTTAATTGTAGACGCCCGTTATAGTGCATGGCGCGTAACTAGATCTTGTATTAAACTCTCTACGAATCTTATAGGATCTAAAGTCATTTCTGTGATTGTGATACGACCGGATGGGTTTTGGGATAAACGTGTCGACAGTTGTACCAAGTTGTATAAAGAAGGCGAAGTGAGTAAACTAATTTAATAAAAATGTATTACAATAAGTGATATCAAAACGATATATGAACAATGTTACGTCCAAACTCTGAGCATCCATGATCTACCATGTGGTAGGACTAGAATGAGAAAGAATGTGAGAGGGAGAGAGAGTGTGGAAGGACGTAAAACAGACGCCCTATCTCGTTGGTGCACGCGCAGAGACGAATCCCACAAGTCAATTGCACTTTTTGTCACTTTGAGAAAAAATGGGTCAATGACTTGAAAAGGGGCGTTATAATACCTTTTTCGAAAAGTCGTGCGATGGGCGGTCCTATAGTCTTATAGGTCATGGAATTTAATCTCTTTAACTCTGGATCGGACCACGTACGACCATTTAGTTAACGAATATGAGATACCAGAAATTGTAAATGGTTAGGTTTAAAACCGTTTGTTACAATGAATATATTTTAATCATTAATAATAAAGATATGTAATAATTAATAAAAAGATGTAAAGATAATGATAATGATAATTTGAAAATAATAGATAGTAAACTTAATATGAATGTTACATTTAAACAAAATAGAATTTACTTCTTTTTATTTATTTCTTTTTATGTAATTCATTCGCATATATTATACGCGAATACAAATATATACACTGCATACTTTAACTCTCGTGGAAATATTTCTAATCTCTTTTATATACTAAATGTACATTCATATTTTCACTATAACATTATTTTATCGGGATCGAGATACAATCTATTTGCATATTATTCATATACGCGAATATATAAACACCGGTATTTTACTCTCGTGGAAATGTATCGTATCTTTATATTCTATTTGTGACATCTATATTTTCTCTATGATATTATTACATCCAGACTGAGAACTAGCAGCGTCAAGCGTATTTACATAAAAAATTTTTCTATTTAAATAAATTCCTTCTATTCTGTACTGCTACTTCTTTAATTTTTTGTGATAACACTTAAGATGAATAAAGTAATGTAATTTTGCGATTATAATATTTTGAAGGAAGAATAAATAATTAATTACTGTAACTTTGATTAAAGAAAAAAATGTGTTTGAATTAATTGTGATATAATATTTTTAAAAAGAATTAAACCACTTGGATTGGAATAGAATTCCAATCCATCTTTTAATAAAAATATAAAGACATATGCTTAGGTTTCATTGTATATGAAGATAAAGATAGTACCATATGGGTTCTACTTAATAATTTAGTAGAATTTAACTTGACGCCAATTATTGATATCAAATTAAGTAAATATATGTCATTAGAATTAAGCAAATAATAAGGATAATACCATGTTGGTTTTTAGAGACAAAAAAGAGAGTAATAGAATTTAACTTAGCGCCGACTGTTGATATCAAATCTTTATACATGATATTAAAATTAAGTAAATAATAAAGATAGTATAGAATTTAAAGATTTAATTATTTACAAAATTTATAAATACGGAATTTCAATTTATCATCTTTAGATTTTAATATGTCATTCAAAAACACTATTAACACCCATGATGCTATAAGCATCAAAAAATTTTAATCAATTAAATTCGTGATATTATTGCGGTAGTAAGTATGCGTCAATGCTGAAATTAATCAGCGTCGCAATTTATGGGGGGATTACGCAGTATATAAAATTCACACATAATTAGAATAAGCACTTGTGATCTAGCTTTGACCGTTATAGGCTGTCTTCTTCTTGTTTGTGTTTATCACATGTACGGTCATAAAAAGATTCCAATATTTATAGAATTTAACTTGGCCAAATGTTGATATCAAATTTATACACACGATACATATCATTAGAATTAAAAAAATAATAAGGATAATAACCACGCAGGTCTTTAAAGATGGTACTCTACTAAACAGCAAATGTGATTAGTAGAACTGAACTTGACGCTGACTGTTGATATCAAAACTTTTATACAAATAATAAATGCCGTTAGAATTAAATAAATAATAAGGATAATGTACAAGTGATACATGTCATTAGATTTAAGAAAATAATAAGGATAATACCACGTTTTTAAATTCTACTAAACAGCAAACATGGTTAGTCAGTTACACAGCCGATTAAGTAATTGGTTCTATTAACAGCAAAGTGAATAGTCAGTTCCACAGCCTATTAAATACTTGGCGTTTGTGAAACTGTACAAATAATACAGTGTTATTAGAAATAAATAATAAAGATAGTAATCGCTAACATTTTTTAAATTCTACTAAATAGCAATTAATTATTACAAGACCGAATATAAAATTACTATGTTTTAGCACACATTGTTTTAACGATATTGACGACGCGTAACTTTCAGGATGTTGCAATAAAGATTGTTATTATAAATGAAACCAATAATAGATATTTTATTTTCAGATTTATTGAAAGAAAATGCTTGAAAAGAAAAAGCTAAGATTTAAAAGATAATATAATTTTGTAAAATTGTATTTTGAACACGAGAGAATTTGAAATCTCGCGGGTAACCGAGAGGTAACAAGGGAAACTTATCCTTAGAAAAGCCATTAGAGTGTTCTCGTAGATCTCTCTACGCGTCGTTGAGGTATATATCACGTTCAGGATGAAGCGGATGGGTTAGGGTAAACAATGCTAACTCTTGTTCATTATAAACATTTTATTCTCGTTGTCTGCAAGGACGCTACGCCATTGCGTGAGATAACTTCATTTAATAATCTAAGTAGCCCGTATAGGCGCACTAGTGAGTGCAGGAGGAAATCATCGTCACTCGTCAGAAGTTGATCGCTCCACCACTCGTCATTCTTAACAACTATTGCCATCATCTGATTGGTGTCAGAAATACAAACTGAACAAACATGCGCAAATCGACTTCTTACAATTTTCTTTTTTTAAATTATATTTCTAAAATATTCTAATCTGTTTGTATAGATTGAAATATTGTGTATACCTTTACTAGAATATCCTGAAAGTTATATGTCGTCAATGTCGTTTAAACGCAATGTGTACAAAAACCAAGTAATTTTATATTCTTTGTAATCTTGATGATTTTCTCGATGCGTTTGCTTTGTAAGTTGCCTTTCATTTTATTATTATTTATTTTTCTGATAGTTATCTTAATATTATCTTATAAATAATTTATTTTTTATTTTTCGTTTTTTTTATAATAACAACCTTTATTGCAACATCTTTTCGTACGCAGGATTAAAAAGAATTTAAGAAAGAGTATGCAATGCAGTAAGAAGTAAAGTCTCACATTTTGAATCTTCCCGATTTATGGTATACCCGAAAAAATGGTTTAGGGATCAATTATTATGTTGCAGAGTCAGCCCGATATTTCATGTGTCGTACGACAAGGCTTTTCAAGCACGTTGATTGGCTATAGGACAGAGAGATCAGAGAATCTCTCTGTTTTACAGCCAATAAACAGGCTTGAAAAGCCTTGTCGTACGACACATGAAATATCGGCCTCATGCGAATAACGTGAAAAAGTTCAAGCCATGTTCAAAAAAAGAGAGATACTCAAAAATTTAAACATTTTTATCTAATAATAATATATTACCACGAAAAGAAACTGATATATTATTAACTGAAAGTGCCAGTTCAAAGTGAACATACATAAAGTGTACCAATGTAACTTACGGTCGATTTTCGAATTACCTCCGCCTTCCGCTGTCCCTCTCACCTCATCGCGCGCGGTGAGGTATAATTGCATGACACAATATGGCTGCGTTCCGTTTCAAGCATATGCATGCCTCAGGTAGCAAGGTGTCGTCTATTTAACGTCATTATTTAATCATTCTTATGACGAATGTGACGTTTAAAATGACGTTTGAACATCGCAAAAATGACGTGGATATGTCACAGGTACATAACGTCATAAGTTGACGTCGAAAAGACGTTTTTTTTTCGTGTTATTGACGATTGTTAATGATGTGAGAGTGGCCGATAACGCCTGCGAGTTACTGCAGCGTTAGGCCCCACGCGTTTTCCCGAGATAATGCACAAACGGGAAGCGTGGTCGAGAAACACGAGTTCCTCTACAATTAAAGAAGTCGCTTGATACGATAATCTTCGCTCGCGATGCACTGACACTCGCGAGGAGGGCTTTCAAATGAAACGCCACTACTTTTCTATTACTCGAGACTTTATTAGATCGCTGTTGTCGTTGCCGGATGCACAATGTATACCGCACTCAATTCCGCCGTTACAGTTCGCCAGTAAGGAAGTAAGTAAGTAAGTGAAAATCGGAAAAGGAAGAAGAAGCGCGACGGTATCCGAAGCCGCGAAGGGGGGGAGCCGAAGGCCCGCGAGAGCGTCATGCACGCTCCGAAATTACCGGCAACGGCAGCCGGTCGAATTGCTTGACCAATCTCGACATGGCCGGGCATACTTTACGCGCCAACCAGTAGAATACTGAACACGCCGCCCCCGTTGAAAGGAGCTACTTTCGAAATTAGCACGAGTAATGCCGTAAGCCTATTGAGGTAAACGTGTCTCCTCGTACAATGAAAATCGTTAATGACATGGTATGCTAAAACCAATATGAGTAAAAATTATGATTATGCAAGTTATCTTAACCCTAACTTATGTCTAATACATATAAACGCTATTTGTCCATCGGCAAGATGGCTATTTTCGTTAACGGTCTGGTATATTGTCCTTTCGCCGTACGGACAGTGGCCGCTCGCGCGATTCCATCAGGACCCAGGTGAATCTCCTCCACTCGGCCTAACAACCAATGAAGTGGTGCCAGACCTTGTTGCTTCAGTAAGACCATCTGATTAGGCCTTAATTGCTCGCCCTTGTTGGCTCTCCACTTGTTCCGCTCCTGCAAAGTGTGCAGGTATTCCTTGCTCCATCTGCTCCAAAAGTGCTGTCTCGCCTGCTCGACTCGCTGCCAACGCAATAATCTGTTTTCATTTACATCGATTAAGTCATGATAGGGGAAACTATTCAGAGGGGTGCCGATCAAAAAATGGCCTGGAGTCAACGAACTTAGATCATTTGGATCCTCACTTAGCG